CTTTATGCTCTCAAATGTTCCCTAATGGTTAATAATTATTATAGCTGCTTTTCGCTGCCAATACATGTTCTTTACAATTCGTAAATCTTGTCCATCAGTGTTTAACTTTTCCAATAGTGTGATTAATTGTTCGTGTTTTACACAATCAAACACTGTCTTACAGCCCATGAAAATACTGTTTTAATGTTTTAATTTTGGTAACTGTTTTCCACATTACAGCTCTATTCACAGTCATAATAATGTAGCAGGTCCTTTGCAGAACGTCGCTCTCATCATGGTCTGCCTGAAAGAAACTCGGTCTCTCGCCAGCTCTCCTGCCTCATTTACTTTCATACTCAAGGGGTCACTTATATCCTGTGCCTGTTTTCGTGTCGGTCGGCCCCTGCCCCTCCTTCCTGGTACCATGCCTTCTGCTGTAATTCTTTCCAGTCCGTCTTGATATCACCAAAACATTTCAGCTTCAGAGACAGGATGTTGTTTATTAGCCAATCTTCCTTGATGTTCAAAACTTTCATGATGCTAATATGTCTCCTCTTTATTTTTTTTTTTTTGTCAAAGATACTCTGATAATCTTTTTACAGCATTTCAGCTCAAAAGTCTCTACTCTATTTTTTTAAGGACTGGGAAATAGTCCACGACTCACTTCCGTATGTAGCCACAGGGAAGATGCATACTCTCAAAATTATAATTTTGATCTCCTCGCGGTGCTTAACCATAGACTTTTAAGGCTGTTCAATCTTTGCATTGCTATGGCCATCCTCCTCTTAATTTCTGCCAAATAGTCTCCATTTTTATTTATTATAGAGCCTAGATATTCAAAGTTTGTGACATTTTCAATTTCTTCATCATTTATTGTTATTTTTTGGGGACAGCCAGTTTTATCTGTGGAGATTTTTTTTCGTGTTCTTTAAATCCAAGAACAGATTTTGATCTTCATTGTGCTTTTGGACAGACCAAATTAAATTTTCTATTGCCTTGATTCTGTTCGCCAGTAGGTTTCGGAAATATCTACCAAGGTTTATCTGGCAATTACTCATTTCCCGGGACTTGTTAGAGCTTTCCTGGATGCTGAGACTTATCTCTTCAGAAACAGGTGGTCTATAACGCCCGTGTGTCACCAGGGCCCTCAATGGAAGCAGAGACTAGTGACACTGCCCCCACCAGGCATGTCGTAAGAGGCGACTAAGGATATGGTTGGGCTTGAGTTTAGCTACCTCATCATGAAAAAAAAAAAAAAAAAAAACAATATCCACAAAAAGCAACCAACCATGGATAAGTTTAAAAAAAAAAAAAGCAAGTAAAACCCATCCAACCAAGATGAGGGGGTGGGGGGAGGCTCTTCAAGTAGAAGAAGTATGACACGGTGTTGAGAAAGCCGAAAGGAGTCCGGATCGTCGACATACCTCCTCTCAGCCAGGAAAACCTCCAGAATTGAGCCTGGAATGTTTGAACTCTATGATATAGGGAGGACAATGGAAATAGTAAGGGAAATGAAACATAGAATTAGTATTTTAGGGTTTTGTGAATCTAAACGGACTAGGACGGAAAAAAGTATTCTAAATTCAGGGCAAACTATTTTTTTCTCAGGAAACAGAGAGGAAAATTCGCCCCACAAGGAAGGAGTGGCCCTGATGCTATCGAAATAAACAGACAGGGTACTGATAGAATGGGAAGCTGTGAGTCCCAGAATAATAAGAGCGTCATTTAGAACAGCAAAACAGAAAGAGAACATGTCGGTAATACAGTGTTATGCACCAACAAATGATAAAGATGCATCTGTTAAGGAAGAATTTTACATGCAGCGTCAAAATATCATAAATAATGAAAGAAAGGGCAATGTAAAAATTTTGATAGGTGACCTGAATGCTAAGATAGGATCAGACAACACAGGTTATGAAGAGATGATTGGAAGACATGGTCTAGGAGTAATGAATGAAAATGGAGAATTGTTCACAAATTTGTGTGCAGGAAACCAGTATGTTATTAGTGGAAGTATTTTTCCCATGAAAGAATACACAAGGCAACATGGGAATAAAGAAGTTAAGGAACAATTTTGAGCAAGAGTCTCTAATGAGTACCAGGTGTTAAGGCAGTTGGCTGAAAATGTCAGCACAAAAGTCTGCTGGGATCAGATCAAAGGAATCTGGAATGAATTTTGTGTAGAAGTTCTTGCCAAGAAAGAACGGAAACATCAAGCGTGGATAACTCAAGAAACCATTAAACTGATTAAAGAAAGAAAACGTATAAAGGCAGACATAATCAAAAGCCATACTAGAGCTGCTTAAGCTAGAGCTCAAGACAAATACGCAGAAGCCAATAAAGAACTTAGGAGGCTTATAAGGGAAGATAAAGTGAAATATTGAAATGATCTAGCAAAAGAATGGGAGTCAGCAGCAGCAAAAGGAAACATTAGAGAACTTTGCAGCAACACAAGAAAATTACTAGGTAAATATAGTCAGCCAACTGGATCGATAACAAATAGTAAAGGAAAGGTACTAACTAACACTAAAGACCAAATAAACAGATGGGCTGAATATTTTGAAATGCTTCTAGATAGACCAGGCCCAGGGGTTCCTCAAGATATCCAGCCTTTAGAAATGGAACTGCTCATCAACTGTGAGATACCATCTAAGGAAATTATGAAAGCTATCAATCTTCTCAAGAAGGAAAGGCGGCAGGTCCAAATGGTATCCCAGCAGAAGCCATTAAGGCAAACACATCAACGGAATTGCTGCACAGATAATTTAATAAAGTCTGGGAGACCGAAGAAATACCAGCAGACTGGAGAGAATGATATCTTGTGAAACTGCCCGAAAAAGTTGATCTACAAGAGAGTGAAAACTACAGAGGAATTATGTTGCTGTCAGTTCCTGGAAAAATATAAGGTAGAATTATTTTGGAAAGATTAAAAGATGCTATTGATAAAACGTTAAGAGATGAGCAAATAGGTTTTCGGTCAGGCAGATTCTGTACTGACCAGATAGCCCTATTGCATATATAATAGAGCAAAGCATTAAACCGAACTCACCATTTTACATTGAGTATATAGACTATGAAAAAGCATTTGACAGCATTTATAGGTCATCGCTCTGGGAATTGGTGGTGCACTATGGAATTCCACAGAAAATTGTAAACTTAGTAAAGGCAACATATAAAGATATGAAATGTCGAGTTCTTAGTGAGGGAAAGCTAACAGATACATTTGAAATAAAAACAGATGTGCGACAGGGATGTCTTTTGTTGCCTATCCTGTTTTTTTACTGGCTGTAGACGGGATTTTCAAGACAGTAACTGCTAACACCAAGAATGGAATTCAGTGGACCCCTACAAAACAGCTTGATGATCTGGACTTCGCTGATGATATTTCTCTTCTGTCCCATTCTCGGAATCAGATGCAAGATAAATTTAATATGCTTGCTGCGAGATCACATTAGCTAGGTCTGAAAATCCACAAAGGAAAGACAAAGATAACGAGAATAAATCAGTCAGTAATTTGATTTCTCTTAATGGCACCACACTCCAAGATGTGGAGTCGTACACCTATTTGGGCAGTACTGTAGATAAAGATGGGGTAACTGATAGAGATATTAAAATAAGAATACAAAAGGCAAGAGGAACTTTCATAGCACTATGGAATTTGTAGAGGTAAAAAGAAATCAAAAGAAATACAAAACTTAAAATTGTTAATTCTAATGTATGGGGCGGTAAAATGAAGAACAGCTAAGGCAATTACTAATAAACTACAGACATTCATTAACTGGTGGCTGCACAGAATAGAGGGAATTAAATGGTGTTGTAGAATAACGAATGCAGAGCTTAGGGCGAGAACTAAACAGGCTCCAGTTGACCAAGAGGTAAGAAAAAGACGATGGTGTTGAATAGGATACGCATTGAGAAAACCGGAGAACAGCATAACTATAATGTCTTTGCATTGGAACACACAGGGGCATAGAAATAAATGGGGGAAAAAAACACACGGAGAAGAGAGCTGGAGAATGAAGTTAGAAAGATGGAAAGGACATGGGGAGAACATCATGCAAAAGCGAAGGATAGAACGACTTGGCGTGGGTTGGTTGAGGGCCTATGCTTTATTAGGGGATAGAAAGGCAGAAGAAGAAGAAGAAGAAGAAGAAGAAGAAGAAGAAGAAGAAGAAGAAGAAGAAGAAGAAGAAGAAGAAGAAGAAGAAGAAGAAGAAGAAGAAGAAGAAGAAGAAGAAGAAGAAGAAGAAGAAGAAGAAGAAGAAAAAAAAAAGAAGAGAAAAAGAAGAAGAAGAAGGTGACCTACCAGGGCGGCAAACGTCATGAACACTACCGGTGCTGCAAAATTTCTTATTTACATTGCTTACAGTAATGTGATAAGACACCTAATTATCAGGAAATAACTTCATATATTGTTCTACAACCACATTTGAATACCTGCCACCGTTAAGGAACACATGCTCAACCCAAATTTTTTTCTTCTTCAATAGTTACCCTCCATATAGCTAAGATCAATTACCAAAACACTGGAACATAGAAGTGATATTCTAAAATAACGGTTACATAGCGCTTGAAACATGGGATAATATACAAATGTAATTACAGTGCGCAAAAAAATTGATTTAAAAAAGTCTAGGCGATAAACACACTCACACACATACACACACCCACAGATAAAACCGTGTATATGTACCCGTTAGTTTTAAATATCACTGCTATATTCCAGTGTTTTATTTGATCTTAGCTATACGGGTCGTGACTATTAGAGAAAGACTATTTTGGCTGAGCATGTGTTCCTTAACGGTGGCATATATATATATATATATATATATATATATATATATATATATATATATATATATATATATATGTGTGTGTGTGTGTGTGTGTGTGTGTGTGTGTGTATAAACACTTTACGTTTGTAGTAAATGTATACTTGGAGTTTCTGGATTACTAGACACGTAATATCTAACTATACATGTATGACAGCGACGGATTTTCGGAATAACATAATTGCGGCAATGAGGCAACTCGAGCAGGATGTTAATGATGTTGCGCGTGTTTGTGTGAAGTTTAGACCTAGAACCAATGAGTCCGACTATATCAGAATCTATCCGGGTGAAAAGTAAGTACAATAATTTAGTTTCATTGTGCAAGATATTAAATGGCCGGTAGATTATTTTTGACTGTTTTAGTGACATTGTCAGTTTTTAACTTTAACTTGACTTGAATTAGTTCCAGTATCACAACGAATGTGGAAAATGTAATTGAAAACTGGCTGGCAAAATGAAACTGTGAGTTCTGATCTGGTAAGCTAGTAGTCGTAATGAAACTTTGGAGATGTAACTGTACAGAAGACCGTATTCTCAAGAAAGTAAAAACTATTTAAAAAAAAAAAAAAAAATAAAGTTTGTAGGAGACTGGGAATGTAAATAATTGTTTAAAGAAATATAGGAAGTGAGTGAAATATTTTGGCCACATTAGAAGCCATTTTACGCTTGTAAAAAAAATTATTCTGCAAATGGTGGGGATTGAAGGAAACCAAGCAAGAGACACACAGTGATTAAATAGCAGTCTCAGACAGTACACAACTAGGATAAGTTTGACAACAAACTCCAGCATCTCTTTGTATATATATATATATATATATATATATATATATATATATATATATATATATATATATATATATATATATATATATATATATATTTTAACTGCCTGTCTCCAAACGCAAATTTGACATTCTAACTATCAGAAGTTAGTTATCGACGTACTGTCATCATTGCACATCAAAGCATTCAGTCCATGACTGATCAGATCCCCTCCTCAGTAAATACTGCAGCTTTTAGCGACTGACGACTCCAGGTCTCCGGTTCTGTGAATGTTTCTTATTCTTCTTTGGCCTCCTAGATATCGCATTTGTCTGGTTACACTTCTTTTAATATGATGTTCTTGCAGACTGATCATAGTAACGGTTGCTTTCTAGACTATGTACCTCCGACGGTCACTGACTAGACTGTGTTCAACCAACGGTCATTGACTAGACTGTGTACCTCCAACGGTCACTGACTCGCCTGTGCTCCACCAACGGTCATTGACTAGACTGTGTACCACCAGAAGTCGCTCACTAGACTGTGTACCTCCAACGGTCATTGACTAGACTGTGTACCACCAGAGGTCGCTGACTAGACTATGTACCTCTAACGGTCATTGACTAGACTGTGTACCTCCAACGGTCATTGACTAGACTGTGTACCTCCAACGGTCATTGACTAGACTGTGTACCACCAACGGTCATTGACTAGACTGTGTACCTCCAACGGTTACTGACTCGCCTGTGTACCAGCAATAGTGGCTGGCTAGACTGTGTACCACCAGAGGTCGCTGACTAGACTTTACACCACCAACGATCGCTGACTAGACTGTATTCCCCCAATGGTCAGACTAGACTGTGTTCCACCAATGGTCGCTGGCTAAACTGTGTTCCACCAATGGTCACTGACAAGACTGTGTTCCACCAATGGTCGCTGGCTAAATTGTGTTGCACCAATGGTCACTGATTAGACTGTGTTCCACCAATGGTCACTGACTAGACTGTGTTCCAACAATGGTCGCTGGCTAAACTGTGTTCCACCAATGGTCACTGGCTAGACTGTTCCACCAATGGTCACTGACTAGACTGTATTCCCCCAATGGTCACAGACTAGACTGAGTTCCACCAATGGTCGCTGGCTAAACTGTGTTCCACCAATAGTCACTGACTAGACTGTGTTCCACAATTAGTCACTGACTAGACTGTGTTCCACAATTGGTCACTGACTAGACTGTGTTCCCCAATGGTCACTGACTAGACTGTGTTCCACAATTGGTCACTGACTAGACTGTGTTCCACAATTGGTCACTGACTAGACTGTGTTCCCCAATGGTCACTGACTAGACTGTGTTCCCCAATGGTCACTGACTAGACTGTGTTCCCCAATGGTCACTGAATAGACTGTGTTCCCCAATGGTCACTGATTAGACTGTGTTCCCCAATGGTCACTGAATAGACTGTGTTCCACCAATGGTCACTGACTAGACTGTGTTCCACCAATGGTCACTGATTAGACTGTATTCCACCATTGGTCACTGACTAGACTGTGTACCACAAACGATCGCTGACTAGACTGTGTTCCACCAATGGTCACTGATTAGACTGTATTCCACCAATGGTCACTAATTAGACTGTATTCCACCAATGGTCACTGATTAGACTGTGTTCCACCAATGGTCACTGAATAGACTGTATTCCACAATTGGTCACTGATTAGACTGTGTTCCACCAATGGTCACTGATTAGACTGTATTCCACCAATGGTCACTGATTAGACTGTGTCCCCAATGGTCACTGACTAGACTGTGTTCCACCATTGGTCACTGACTAGACTGTGTCCCCAATGGTCACTGATTAGACTGTATTCCACCAATGGTCACTGATTAGACTGTGTCCCCAATGGTCACTGACTAGACTGTGTTCCACCATTGGTCACTGACTAGACTGTGTTCCACCATTGGTCACTGAACAGACTGTGTTCCACCAATGGTCACTGACTAGACTGTGTTCCACCATTGGTCACTGACTAGACTGTGTTCTACAATTGGTCACTGAATAGACTGTGTTCCACCATTGGTCACTGACTAGACTGTGTTCCACCATTGGTCACTGACTAGACTGTGTTCCACCATTGGTAACTGAATAGACTGTGTTCCACCAATGGTCACAGATTAAACTGTATTCCACCAATGGTCACTGATTAGACTGTATTCCACCAATGGTCACTGATTAGACTGTATTCCACCAATGGTCACTGATTAGACTGTATTCCACCAATGGTCACTGACTAGACTGTGTTCCACCATTGGTCACTGACTAGACTGTGTTCCACCATTGGTCACTGACTAGACTGTGTTCCACCATTGGTCACTGACTAGACTGTGTTCCACCATTGGTCACTGACTAGACTGTGTTCCACCATTGGTCACTGACTAGACTGTGTTCCACCATTGGTCACTGACTAGACTGTGTTCCGCCATTGGTCACTGACTAGATTGTGTTCCACCATTGGTCACTGACTAGACTGTGTCCCCAATGGTCGCTGACTAGACTGTGTCCCCAATGGTCACTGATTAGACTGTGTCCCCAATGGTCACTGACTAGACTGTGTTCCACAATTGGTCACTGACTAGACTGTGTTCCACCATTGGTCACTGACTAGACTGTGTTCCACCATTGGTCACTGACTAGACTGTGTTCCACCATTGGTCACTGACTAGACTGTGTTCCGCCATTGGTCACTGACTAGATTGTGTTCCACCATTGGTCACTGACTAGACTGTGTCCCCAATGGTCGCTGACTAGACTGTGTCCCCAATGGTCACTGATTAGACTGTGTCCCCAATGGTCACTGACTAGACTGTGTTCCACCATTGGTCACTGACTAGACTGTGTATCTCTGATGGTCACTGACTAGACTGTGTCCCCAACGGTCACTGACTAGACTGTGTTCCACAATTGGTCACTGACTAGACTGTGTCCCCAATGGTCACTGATTAGACTGTATTCCACCAATGGTCACTGATTAGACTGTGTCCCCAATGGTCACTGACTAGACTGTGTTCCAGCAATGATCGCTGACTAGACTGTGTATCTCTGACGGTCACTGACTAGACTGTGTACCTCTGACGGTCTCTGACTAGACTGTGTACCTCTGACGGTCTCTGACTAGACTGTGTACCTCTGACGGTCTCTGACTAGACTGTGTACCTCTGACGGTCTCTGACTAGACTGTGCCCCTCTGACGGTCTCTGACTAGACTGTTTACCAGCAACAGTGGCTGACTAGACTGTGAACCACCAGGGGTCATTGACGACTGTTTACCACCAAAGGTTACTGACTAGACTGTTTACCACCAATGGTCACTGACTAGACTGTTTATCACCAAAGGTCACTGACTAGACTGTTTACCACTAACGGTCACTGACTAGACTGTTTACCACTAACGGTCAATGACTAGACTGTTTACCACTAACGGTCAATGACTAGACTGTTTATCACCAAAGGTCACTGACTAGACTGTTTACCACTAACAGTCACTGACTAGACTGTTTACCACTAACGGTCATTGACTAGACTGTTTACCACTAACGGTCAATGACTAGACTATTTACCACTAACGGTCGATGACTAGACTATTTACCACTAACGGTCAATGACTAGACTATTTACCACTAACGGTCAATGACTAGACTGTTTACCACTAACGTTCAATGACTAGACTGTTTACCACTAACGGTCACTGACTAGACTGTTATCAGGCTCTGGAAATATGGTACAAACTGTCTGTGGGCCGGTAGTCATTCTTTGGAATCCTCGAAAAGCAGTGTTTTTTTCACCCACCGGAAAGATAGGTTTGTAATGATCATACAATAGCCACGATGATTGGTCTATGAATACTTGGTCAGCACTGCATCTCCAGTGCATGTATGTATACTAGTGTGCGTGTGTGTGTATATATATATATATATATATATATATATATATATATATATATATAATACTCTGGTAGCCTTTTCTTACAGCAACAGCCCGGAGTAGCTTACCTTGACAGAATTCACAGGACAGACCATATCAATTGCCGCCACCCCCCCCCCCCCCACCCCTTTCCACTCCTTGAGCTGAGTTTAGTCAAGAATCGACAACGCTGCACTTTGGACTATCCTAAGCTCAGTTGTTGTTTGCCATCCAGGGAAGAAGTCCAGTTGCAACAACACCAGCAGCATTTCGATGAGATGTCTCTCTTGCCTTTCCTCTGATTCTGGAGGAACGTTGTATAACATTTTAATAGAGTGGGAGAATGTGATGTAATGTCTTATACTGACGACTATAGTGATTTTTTTTCTATTTTTATATCACGATGTACTGTTTATCTTCTTATCCCCACTTTCATGAAAGGTTGGTCATTACGTTTCTCCAAGGCCTTCTGTTTCGTATGCTGCTAAATATTTATGATGCAGAGAATTTTCCATGTCAGTGTGCTAAACTGTCTAAATTCTCTCGCATGGTCTGCTCTAAGATCTCTTTTATTCCAACGTTCTTGTCATTAACTCCAGCTGCCTCCTTCCTTCGCTCTAATTGCCCAAAGAATGTAAAATATTTCAATCGTTTAGAAATGGACTATAATTGTGAACTAATTATTGTTTAAATTAACTTTCATGACTTTATAGTATGTTCGGAATGTTCTTGTCACTCGTCTTTAAAAACCCTTGCAGTTTCTATATGATTTCCCTTTAATTCTTTGCTACTTATAAGTGTAAGTACTAGGTGTGTGCTAGTATATGTATTCAATAAGCATGTTCATAAATCAGATGCCGTGCACCGAATGGCATGCAGAACAGGGGCAGAAATAATGTCTCTATTGGCCGAGGTTGTGAGGCAAGGGGTTTCATCCTGCACGAGCTGGTTCATGTGCTTGGATTCTGGCACGAACATAACCGACCTGACCGCGACACCTACATCAACATCAACCTCACTAATGTCAGAAATAGTAAGTACGTCAGATGTAATCATTTGTTGTTGATGTCCATGATTGGCACTAATAACACAGTGTTGGTGAAAAACAAATTCTATCTCTATTCTCGCAAAAAGACAAATCCGGTGGAATAGGGTGGATGGTTGAGAACACGCACTTGCTTTTGGGCCAAAACTTCCTGTACAACTACGGCCTAGAATGAGAAACAAATTGCCAGGTGTTGAATACAAACCGGCAAGCAACTTTTTTCTTGCCCAAATCTTCCACTAAAATTTTACAATCAGTCTCTTTATTAAAACTAAATTCATCTTCCATCATCCTCACAGTCGAACAACGATCTTTTTGTATCTGTTCTCATGTTCTCATAATTTTTCAATGAGTTTCTCATTACGAATAGAAATTGGGTGTCCAGGTCTAGTTGCATTAGTATTCATTTCCACACCACTTTTGAACAGCGAATACCAGCTGAAAATCTGTTAACGAGATTAACAATTATCCACATAAACTTGTTGTATCAATTCAACTGTTGCAATGGCGCTTTGACTGAGTTTTAAACATATTTTAATGTCAGCTTTTTAAAAAACCCAATGCTGATTACGTAACAATGCTTCTCTGACTAGGTTAACAAAATGGCGGCTTGTTTGTTTTTGCTTATCGGGCGGCGATGAAAATTTGCCAGATCATAGACGAAGGTGGATTCTTTGGATTCCATGCTCTGAATCAAAGATGCCATTTTTGTCTTAGCCATAATAAAATCAGTCTCATTACTTAACTGACGGACCTTGTATTTCTCGAAGTTATCGTTGTTTTTTAGCGAAGATAACCGTCAGCGTTTGAGATGATTGCAAAAAAGCAACACTTTAGCGGTTTCTGGTAGCAACAACTATAGATTTTAAAAGTTCATCTAAGGTTCAACTAAACAGTGAAAAAAAAAAAAAAAAAAAAAAAAAAAAAAAACTAGATATAGAGTAAACCACAGAAGAAAGAATGTCATATTTTAACTACTCTAGTCTGGCATTGTACTATTTAACACAGTTTCATAATAACATCAACAGGATTAAAGCCGGATTTTAGTCAAGTTCCTTCTGCCAAGATAGACACGCTGAACACACCCTACGACCTGGGGAGCATCATGCACTACAATCCTTACACCAATGCTAAAGACAAGACAATACCTGTGATAACCCCGAAACCCGGCAAGGCTGTGGGTATTCAACTGGGGCAAAGGATGGCGCTGTCCACCTGGGATGTAGTGAGAATCCAGAGATTGTACGGGTGTAGTGAAAGTAAGTCAGTTAGTTACATAAGATGGACATGTGACCGCTGCTGCCTGGTCTTAAATTTAGGTATTATTGAACTAAGTTGAGTTGAGAACCGATACTACAATACTCGGGACATTTACATAAGGGCTCTGACCCCATCAGCAACCAGCGCAGACATCATCAGTAGCTGTTTGATTATCCGACTGTATCCCTCTTGCCTTTTCTCTGAGTGTAAATGTTGGCCAGATTCCCTTGCTATTCTCCTCTGCACCAGTCTCTCCACGGCGTAATGCTGTTCCGCATTGTTCTATTGATTTCCAAGGGCCTTGATCACATCTATCTTGAATCATTTCACCAGCCAGTGAACCTACCAAGGAACGCATGAATCGAACAAACCTTATTTTCAAAGAGCTAAGAATTGGGCACGCAGGCCCTTCTAACATTCTGCCTTGTGGTGCAGAATCAGTCTGTCTGTCTGTTCTAGTTGATGACAGAGCTCATTGCTGTTCATCAGCTAGTCACTTTTCAACTGCTGCCTGTTGCTCTTGAGATGTTTGTTGCCTGTCTCTCTTCTGCCTATAAGTAAGAACATCACCTACATATCCGAATATGTTTCCAACAACAGAGAAAGGGGGCGGGGGGTGCTGGGGACAGACAGGTAGATAGAGAAAGAGAGTGAGTGAGTGAGTAAGTGAGTGTGTGAGTAAATGAGTGAGTGAATGTGTGAGTAAATGAGTGAATGAGTGAGTGAGTGAATGAGTGAGTGAGTGAGTGAGTGAGTGAGTGAGTGAGTGAGTGAGTGAGTGAGTGAGTGAGTGAGTGAGTGAGTGAGTGAGTGAGTGAGTGAGTGAGTGAGTGAGTGACAGAGAGAGAGAGAGAGAAAGAGCAGCAGTCACAATAATCTTAAACAAAAAGTACGAGGTGGAAACTTGGAAGATATCCATCCATCCATCTATCCGTCCGTCCGTCCGTCCGTCCGTCCGTCCGTCCGTCCGTCCGTCCGTCCGTCCGTCCGTCTGTCTGTCTGTCTGTCTGTCTGTCTGTCTGTCTGTCTGTCTGTCTGTCTGTCTGTCTGTCTGTCTGTCTGTCTGTCTGTCTGTCTGTCTGTCTGTCTGTCTGTCTGTCTGTCTGTCTGTCTGTCTAATCTATCTATGTGTCCGCCCATCCATGTGTCAGTCTGTCTGTGTATGGCGTGCGCGTCCTCTGTTTCGACAACATAGTTTATGAGAGCTGCAGTGTCTCAGAGCTAACATGTTTATATTCACGTCCGTTGGTTATTAGTTATATCGTGTTCGCGGCACATTTTCAAACTAACCAACGCTTCGATGTCAACACTGACTAGTTATAAGTATTAGACTTCAGGTACGGTTATCAAAGCGGCTGGAGTGATACTGGCATCATAACCCTCGTAACACCGATATCCTAATGCCTAAACTGAGATAGCATCGTGGGCCTTATGCAGCGCATATAGCTCCTCTGCTTACTTACAATTGTTTACATTTGTCATAAAGCTACTTATCGACTTGATCGCAACGGCTCGTTGGCAGCTCTATGACAATGATATTTATCCTGCAAACACAAACCAAATGTACACTGTCAGAGCACAAAGATCGGTCACATCCCGTGGGCTGCTGAATGCCTAGTAACTAAGCGATCATTTTAATGGTAGTCCGTCTAAATGGTAGTCTATTATTCACTATCATCACCTACAGTCGAACCATAGCCACACAGGCACTTGACAATGTTGATCATAATATTTTCCTTGTTTATATTCTTAAATTAGCTGTTTATATTGTGTTATATTGTGTACTCTTTTCCCCCATAGATACCTCACACATAACAAGAACATATCTAACAGGTAAGTTTGTTGATGGCATATGAATCTGAAATATGAACTGAACTACTGAAAATATAAAAACACACATCCTGCCACAGATTCTATTAAATGTGCATATAAATATGGAACTGAATGGAAAAGGGATGGGAGGGACAATACACATTGCATGCACTAAAAACTACACTTATAATACAATAATAATAATAAAAATATTCGTGAACTCCTCGTTTATGCCCCAGTGACCTAGAATGGAGAAGGAGATTAACACCCCCCCCCCCCTTTTTGCCCCCTTTTCCATTCCCAACTTCAATCATTTAGTTTTTTTTTTTTTTTACTTGAAGATTCGAAGCGTTTACTGCAAGGCTTGGTGTGAGAGGCGAGGCAACAACAGTCTGCATATAAATAAGTCAGATCAGTGAATCTGGTGTGCAGGTAAAACTTAATGATTGATAGCGATCGATTTTGCCGAATACTTCTGGCTGCACTGGTGACAGCACTAGAATGCCTACCCAGCCAAAACAGTGCTAACAATAAGTCCTTTTATATTATAGGGTACCTATACCCACACACGCATGCCAGGGATACATGAATACATAAGTAGGAAGAGCCTTATTGTATAAGAAATACGACACAAAATTTACTCCACCAACGACAGCCATTTCGTGTTTACAGTGACCCGGGCGGAAATTACGTCATTCTCTGTAACGCCAAATGCCGCGCCAAGACAAGCAGTGCCCCAAAGTACGATCTAGGTCAACCCGGTCCGTCGGTTTCTCCCACATTTTATATATATATATATATATATATATATATATATACATGAAGTCCAATCTGTCTAACCCCAATCGGCCTGTAGGTGAACGCTCTGGGTTCGCGCGTTCCTGCAGTTTAAACCGTGTTACGGCTAAGGGTAGTTGCTTCACATTGTTACACCTGTCTGGCAATCAGCAGCAGGGCACAGTAACAATGTAACAACAATTATATTAATCTACAAAGTACTTACTTATGCTCATTTGAAGTTCCAGGGTGAAACGGATACTTTCAAAGAAGGCACCCACAGACTTTCAAGACAAAGGCGAAACCCGTCTACGTGCTCTGGAGGCTGCCCCACGAATGAAATCATTTCAAATTCGCCCGAATCAGAAGCAGGGTTACCAGATTTAAAAAAAAAACAAAAAACTTAATTTTTAGCCAAACTATTGCACACACCAAAAAAAAAACGCCAGAAAACTCAACGAAAATTGTTACATTGTACCCACTTCACATTAAATCTCTAGACTTCACTATCATCCTCATTGGAACAAGTGGAAGACACAGTGTAAACCTTTTCAGATATAAAATCTTAAAGCATTTTCTCAGATGGGGTTAAGTCTTTGCAACATTCATTTGATATCATTAATGATGCATTAAGAAAATCCAGTTGTATTTTGTTTCTTGCTTTTGATTTAACTGAAGTAACAAGAGAGAATATTCTCCTAATTACAGCATTGCTAACGGGCATATTTTAGCAATAAGGGCGAAAGTGGTCAACTCTAGTAATGCCTGGTGTCGAAGTACGCCTATCCAAAACTCTTCATTGTTTATAGGAAGTCCATCCTTCTTAATATAGCTTCTTCTTTCCAGTTGACAATAATCAGCTTTCTGTACTGTTCTTCTGTAAAACTGATGTTATTTTCTGCCAGGAGTAAAAATGGTAGCTCTGAAAACTTTCCTTGATACTTGATTTAAAACTACCACAGGGCTCAGTTTTGAAAGATTTTTTAATATATTCTCAGTGGAAAGTCTACGTGTAATTTGATAGAGAGCTTCCTCTAGTATAGACATGTATCTTTCTTTAACAATTTTATTTCCTACTGAACTTCAGCCCCGTTATTCTTTTGTAGGAATGCATTACATTCTGTTATGAATTTAATACTAAAGTCAACGTGACGAATATTTTTTTTTTTCTGGTTATCGACTGTTTTAGTAGTATCCAGAAGCCATGAGTTGTTAACCCTTAGGCTCGGTATTATGGATATCGCAACTTTTCAGCCTTGATTCCATTTTAAATACCGTAAATCTGGGAGAATTCTGTTCATTGACATCACATAATCTGTTCTTAAGACTTTTCTGGTGCATGGACAATTCTTAGTGTAGTTCATGAGGATCAGCTTTTGTTTGTTGAAATAGACTGTTCAGTCTTTCAAACTCTTGTACAATTGGTGTCCAAAACACAAAGCACAAATAGTTATTGTGGTCTAACAGCATTACCTTTACAATCTTACTGTATATTTTGTGTCAAACTTTGTCTGGGCCTATTCCGCATATGTGAAATATCCTTGCAACATTTCCCAGTTCACCAGTATATTAAACATAATCTGTCCACGCACAATCCAGCTGGTAGATGACAGTTTCTCAAATGGAAGACGAGTAGTTCGTGCTGATTCACACTCCGCTGATGTGTTTATCACTGTAAACAGTTCTTTATAGGCTTCTCGTCCTAAATCACTATGGTGAAACCACTAAGGTATGTCTAAGAGTAAGAAACCAAAATTTGATGGCAGCTTGGCAACTGCATTACAAATGCAGAGTGCTAATGAATGACAAATATATTTGAGCTGTATACAAAAAAGGAGACACATCTTTAATTCTAGACCATACAGGGTTCTTGCACCCGACCATATTTGAAGCTCCATCTGACACAAACCCATTGTAATTTGTAAGCCCGTAGCCACATCTTATGATTTCCTTATCAATCAAATTAAATAAGTTTTCTCCTGTAGCCACTTGCAAGGAAATTAAAGCAAGAAATCTAGTAGATATTTCATTTTTTCTATCACTGAAAAACGAACTATAATGCACAAGTACTTTTGAGTGGAAATGTCAGCATTCATCTATGATAATAGCATATTTCTTGTTTCTAAAGTCACCAGTAAGATCAGCGTTAAGTGCAGGCGATATAATATTTTTACTATGCATGAACATCTAGTTCTGTGCAACTGTATGTGCTCCAATGTACTCCCCCGACCGTGCGCTCTCATGATTTCACTTAGATGATCAATTGTGCGTATTTCACAGTGGCAGTTCATGCTTACAAGTTGTAACTCTGCTGCTTTACTTTTATCATTACCTTGACTAGAAGTTATTGTTGTAATTAGCTGTGACTGGCTTTTTGACGGAGTTTTCATACTGTGCTTTTCGGTGTTTTCATGATTTGATATGTTACAAAGAGGGTGCTAAAATGTTACATATAACCTGTTTTGCTGTATGCCAGCGAATCTTGAAATGTCACTGAACGAAGAATTTAGAAGCATTTGGAAGCAACAGAGATGTGGTTTCTGAGACGAATGTTGCGAATACCTTGGACAGCCAGAGTAACTAACGACAATTACTTGAAAGAGGCATATGAAAGTATATCTCTATATACAACAATAAGAAAAAGACAAACACTGTTCTCTGGCCACATAATCAGAAGAGGGACATTGGAGAACATCGTGACAACTGGAAAGATCAGTGGGAAAAGGGGTAGACCAAGAGAGATGATGCTGGATGGGCTAAAATTATGGCTTTTAGGATATCATTAAGAGGGCTGCTCCAGTCAACTAAAGATCATGATCTGTAGAGACGCATGAGCGCCCACGTCAGTTGGCAGGGTACATGATGATGATATGTTGCTAATTCTTGGTGCAATAGTGCACTGACACAGTTTACAATATGCTGCTCCTGGTCCGTCTGAAGATATTTTGAGCCATGTGTATGTTTTCTCCCAATTACTATTATACTTGCAATTGCTGTCATAAGATGCTTTCCATTTTTTTTATAACGTGGCAATTTGTAAAAGTAATACACCCTATGACAAATAGAAATAGGTCTATATTATCTCTATTTTCTATCCTCAGATAGTTTCTCAACAGTCTGATTACTTGGTATCTGTGGTGGATTTTGGTTTTAGGTGCCGCATTTAATCGAGTAAATTAACATAAATTACAGAGGGCCTTGGTTTACCACAGTCACGATCCGTTTAGGAAGACAGCAACATATCATTCAAAAAGAGATGGCGCGAATCTCCATTAATCAGTACCAGGACATCAAACAACAAAGACAAACTGAAATACAGATGTATTTTTCAAGGAGTAACCATGAAAAAAATGTGAGCACGTCTTTTTAGCAAAGCCAGGAAAACCCCGAATACGCCATATTACGTCAGCTTATTGTGTCAATCCAGGTCAATTTCAAATACGATACATTTGAGGAATATGGCGTCAAAAACGCCAACATGGCAACCATGATCAGAAGTGGAAAGATTCCTTCCACCAAAAGGGGCGGTGATTCGGAAAAGGACTTGAGCTTTAATAGACTTAGAAATCTCTTACCTATGGGTGAATTCATATCATCTCTCCCAATAACATTAGGATCGATCTATCTATCTGCCTCTTTGTCTCTGTTTTTATAAAACCTCAACAACAATAACAACAAGGAGGTACCAATATTGGTTTCAAAACACACAAATCCTCAGTTTTTACTTATAATCAACATCGATACTCCTTGTCCTATTTATATATAAAACGCCTAGTCCATGACGATAAAGTTTCTACTTCTCCCCTGACCATCTAATTTTGTCTATTTTGTACACTATGTAAATACACCGTAGGAAACACACGCAAGACTGGGGCGCCGTCTAGAGAAACATGGGGAAACATCGCTAACAACAAATCGGTACAGGGGCTAGGGGCTCCTCCAACCATCAAACCAAGTAATGTCGATCCTGATTTTCCGGGGAAAAAATTTTTTTCCCCACATTCTTCTTCTTCGTCTTCTTCACGTTCACCAGCTGTACACTCTGGCGGAACGTTCTGGTTGCTCGTCCACTACTGAAATGCAGTCCTGCTCCAGAACCTGAGTGTTGCATGTGCATTAGTTTTACAGATCTCCTTCTTGTGAATACAGACTGTTGGTTCCTTGCCTCTCCGGCAGATGCACTCCGACTTCAAAGGAAACTCACCAATTAGTTGACTCTTACGACATGCTTTTGTGGAGGCATTGGGTCTATTCTTGTTTTCCCCACAATGGGGCCCCGGAACCCACACGGGGGTCCCTCACATTCAACTCGCGAGCCAATCCGCAAAGCCAAAACGCAGATCTGTACAATCCGCTATCCGCAACCAGGCTCTTCAAGCATCAACCCTCAACCAGGAATCTTCAACCCGCAACCCGGCCAACCCTCAACCCAGCCAACCCTCAGCCCTCAAATATACTGGCAGGAATCTTCAACTCTCAACCCTCAACCCAGCCAACCCTCAACCCAGCCAACCCTCAACCCTCAAAATATATGGATCTAAAGCGCGTACTACTCTCCTGTTTCCTGTTCAATCCTCTGTTAATTACTTTCTTGAGTTCTTATTGCATGGATATTCGATCAGTTATTGAGAATGAATCAAAATTTTGCCAGCATTGAAAGCGTACTACATGAATGGGAAACACCAAGGGGCACAAGGAGATGGATTAGAGGAGTCACTGGCAACTTGAGATCCCACAGAACGAGTGACTAAGTTGCTTATCATCCGTTAAACTGGACGCCTAACGGTACGAAAAAAAAAAAAAAAAGTTAGTTGCGTATCCTTTGCAGGACGTTTCTCTAGGCAAATTTACGTCCAGCAGTTTGCCATTCCACTGGACGGTCGGCCCCCTGATACCACTGTCGAAATCAACGCAAGGCGCATGGCCCGCAGCTGGGATCGAACCCGGCACCCCACATTACGAAGATTTCGCATTGACTTAGCCACAGAGCCGATTTCAGTACGAAGCAGATAGTAAAAAAATTAGGAATATTGTATGGATTACTTTCTTCGTTTGCCTTGAAGCATCATTCTCACTTATTGAGTCTATACATATAATAGTACTTATCTGACTGTGCTTGACGTTTTTACTATTTTTGAACAATTTCTCTATTCGTGATTTTTTTGTAATATTTACTGTGCTCACCCATATTGTCTTGTGTAATGCCTCAGACAGTGTAGCCAGGTGCGACTTTGCAAGTGGAATGTGCAACCTGAGACATGACACAGTTTATGAATCTCGCTGGATGGTCATGGAGGGCAGCAGTGGGACGGGACCTCGGGCGGGAAACACAAATGGCGCCGGTATTTATAGCTTGAATGTCTTGTGTATATTTATCTTTTTCTCTTCTTTTTCCTAGAGCATTCTCTTTTCTGCTTAGATTGCTACTTCACATTGGGTAAGTAGGTAAGTAAGTTGTGCCACACAAGGACATCACACAAGCGATTAACACCCGGTGACACAAAGTGCCACCATGCGGATGAGGATCACCCGTTGAAAGGTCCCAGAAACCCCGTTCAGCCGTTAGGCCATATTTTAGGCCCGGCTATATTTAGGGCCCCCGGCAAAAGCCAGGGCGGGGCTTCAAAATAACTAAAAATTGCATCCCACAAAGGGATGACGATTCTGATAACGAACTTTTCATTGGTAGAATGCATCATTTAAAATGATTAAAAATGCTGTGATGTCGATACTTGAATCAACTCAACTCAAGTGTCAAGATTTACACACAATGGCGGCTTTGAGGTCGACACTTTCTCATAACAAAAAATACGAAATCATGTCCAGAATTTTCAGAGATTTAACTTGGAAGGAATGGCGACGAGAAAGTAAACAACCAGCCCCTTCATATTTGGTGGGCTAGAAGTGTCGCGGGCAATATGATCAATGATCTTGCTGTTGCCAGAAGTGTTATACAACATATCATTTCCGAATATTTTCATTGTTTATTATCAGATGCCTTCCTGGTTGCCAAGGAAACAGATGATTATGCAATCGCCGGTATACTGACGTATTTATTCAACGTCGGCGGTCTTTGTGTCAACTTCTTCCTATTCCAGCGTGGACCATCTTCTTACTTGAAAATACTTGTGTCGGGGCCTTACGTTGCTACATCAGTAGCCCAATCATATCAAGGAAATAACACCAACGAATGGCGCCATATGAGCCTCTACATCGACGCACCAGTGGGTGTAGCTTTTGAGGTAGGTGACATGTCAGATGATTCACATAAAAACTAAACTTCCCCAGTTGGTCGGGCACCCAGTTTTGTGGGGACACGAGAGCATGCACAGCAGGGGTCCCCCGATCATCAGCCGAGATCCTTCGTCGCAATTGTTTCGGCCCATTACTTCCTAAAACAAACTCAGAATGTCTCAGCAGTCTGGCTAATTGGTAGCTGACAGCATTTGCCTTCTGTACCCCCCCCCCCTCTCTCTCTCTCTCTCTCTCTCTCTCTCTCTCTCTCTCTCTCTCTCTTATACAATATATATTTATCATTGAGGGTTAGAAAAAAAACTGCTTGCTACATCCATTCAGTTCTAACATATGACTGTGAGTCCTGGACAGTCAATCGGTAGGCAGGCCAAACAGTTTCCTGAGGCCACAAAGATGTGGTTTTACAGAAGAATGCTTAAAATACCTTGGACAGGCAAAAAAAGAGCAACCAAGTGGTTTTCAAAGAGGCGGGACCCGAAGACAACTAATCACAGACATCAGAAGGAAACAGTCATGATTTTTCGGCTATGTTATGAGAAGAGGGAAAATGGAACGTGTGGTGACCACTGGAAAGATCTGTAGAAGGAGGGATAGGAGAAGACAACGAGAGAAGATTCTTGACAGTCTTGTTGCATGGCATGGAGGTGTGTCAGCACACGAACTAATACATGCTGCAGGTGATCGCAAATTGTCGAGAGGCATGATCGCCCACGCCAGTCAGCAAGACACCTGGTGATGATGACTTTCTCTCCCCCACCCCTCTCTCTCTCTCTCTCTCTCTCACACTCTCGCTCTCTCTCTCTCTCTCTCTCTCTCTCTCTCTCTCTCTCTCTCTCTCTCTCTCTCTCTCTTCTCTTGTTGAACCCCACCAAGACATCTCACAAGCGAAAAAAAAAAACCGTTGACACAAAGTGCCATCATGCGAATGAGGACCATCCGTGGAGAGGTTCCAGAAACCCCTTTCAGCCTTTTAGGCCATATTTATGGCCAGGCTATATTTAGCGCCCCCGGCAAAAGCCATGGTGGGGCTTAAATAACGAAAAATGTTATCCCACATAGCGACGACTGTTATTAACCTACTTCTGTGCTCCGGCTTTTTATCTCTCTATTGAGTCTGTCATCTTCTGTAATTATGTTTCTTAGGTATTTGAACTCTCGTACATGTTTGTAGTATCGACTATTTTGACAAAGAGTCATGATGATACGCAACAGCTGATCTTACATACCATAATCTTCCAGAAGTTTCCATACTTTACATCTATGGATTTGATGGAGTCATAAATTAGAAATAAGTTATTTAAGTTAAAAGTTAGTTATAAATTTACAACAGCAACAAACACTCAGGTAGACAGAGAGACTGACTGACTGACTAACTGACACACACAAATTGCATTAACACACACACGGATACAAACACACACACACACACACACACATATATATATATATATATATATATATATATATATATATATATATATATATATATATATATATATTAGTGTGTCATATTATCAATACACATATAACTAATGATGCGGTTGTAATTCACACGAAAACATTTATTTTCTTCCTAATATCCAGATAGCATTTGAAGCTCACTTATCATCCGGTGATGTTGCTATCGATGACCTTAACATTTACAAAGGACAATGCATTTGATCCGAAACTTCATCCCTTCTTCTTATTAACTGGATAATTAAAAGACAGATATTATTATCTCACACGTCAATATGCTTTCAATCATGTAAACCTGCACTCAGTCATTAGTTCCCTAACCTTACCTGGGTCTGGGTGGAATCATATTTTCACACGTATTTGAGAATAATGTAATTAGAATCCACAGTTGTATATTTATCATACTGTGGAGGAAAAAACGCTTCGCAAACTCTGAAAAAAGAGGGAAGGGGGGGGGGGGGATCACCAATACGTGAAATTTCTGTGAATTAATTCAACTAATAATTTTTTTTTTATGCCTGCCATCTGTAAATTATTAATGCAACTTGAATGCGTCTTTTGTTGCGAAAAATAGTTTTCGCTTATCCCGTTGTCCTCGGCAACAACCAGTGTGGGTTCGGGGGCCACCACTGGGGGAGGTGGAGGAGAACAGGCTCTCTATCCCTTAGGAAGCATTTCGAAGAATAAAATTGATTAAGGGTTTACTGATGTCGAATGTTTTGGATCGAAAGGCGTACACATTGCAGCCTAGCTGTAAACGTCGACTATCTGGCAGGCTGACATCCTGGCCAGCCACTTGAGACATATTGATGTTTAAAATGAAAAACATTACAACAAAAAATACACTTGCATAACATGTCAAAATTATATAACATTACATAAGGAACATTTTATATATATATATATATATATATATATATATATATATATATATATATATATATATATATATATATATATATATATATGTGTGTGTGTGTGTGTGTGTGTGTGTGTGTGTGTTTATGTTCATGTGTGTATGTGTGTGTGTGTGTGTTTACTGTCCACTTTCCTAAACCCCCCACCCCCACCCTCTTCCATGTATTCGTCATTTTGAATCTCTGCCTTGGTTCCGCCACGACCGGCTCCAGTTGATAGATGGTGCTGCTGACGTCACCGGGTCAGGTTAACGACGCGTTACCACAGCGGTTCTTAAACTGGATGCCGGGGCACTCTAGGGTGCCGTGTGGGTATGCAGTTGTGCCGCGGCAATATTCAAGAAAAGTCAGCTAATAATTTTGAAATTATTAAAGAAGGCATGTAGATACTTAAAAGTTAAAATTTAAGTTGTCTTCCCTCGCCACTGTCAAAAAAAAAAAAAAATTTATTTCGTATTTAAAAACCGCTGCAACTACGCATCGTTAGCCCGACCCGGTGATGTCAGCAAACAAGCAGACGGACTGACTGCTTCTGAATCAATGGGTGGTGAATTTATGCATGATAAGCTAAATGTGGTCAAGATCTTTTAGATCAAGTGAACAAAATGCACGATTCAATAATAATGGTTTGGAGAGAAGGGTACAGCTAAAAGTGACCAGGGAATGAGGTGGATACTTTATATTCCAAAAGAAAGACACGACGGAGATATAACAGAACTGCCAATAGAGCTATCAGAATTGAAATTCATCATTGGCTTCTGAAGATGAGGACGAAGCGCTTATGAAATGTCCACAATGCTGTGCTGTCAGTTGTTAGCTCAACACTCAAGTAGGGACACGAAATAAACCAGCATGACATTTAATTGGTCGTAACATTAACAGGTGGAAGTTTCACTTCCTTATCGTTTTGTAGCCCCACCCCGGCTATTGCAGGGGACCCTAATATAATCTATCAGTTCAGCTGGGTTTCCAGAACCTCTCCACAGGTGATCCTTATCCGCATGGTGGCACTTTGTGTCACCAGGTGTTTATCGCTGTGTGTGATGTGCTGGTGGGGTAAAACATACTTACTAACTTATCTCTTGCTATTCTAAGATCTATGATCTCTAACAGCAGTTTTGCGAAGCCAATACATCTGGTGTGCTTGGAAATGAAATATTTCCACTTTTGGGGACTGAAACTGGACATATTTCTTGAAAAGCTGAAGTCAAAATTATTTTGTAACTGAATGTATATGTATGGGATTAGGGATTAGATACGAGAGGCGACCAATACCACCGCGTTTTATGAAACTGTCTTGGCCTCTCTACACATAGAACGGTTAGTGGCAAGTGAGAGAACTGTACACAGTACGAACTCCTTAGTTTCAACAACCCACAAACATTTTTCCGAAACAAGTGAAATCATAATCCAAAGGACGAGACCGACATCAAACCCACATACTCCAAAACACGAGACAAACTGCTTGTCAGTTATGCCACGGAAATCTCTTAAAACATCAGTATTGTATATACAACAGTAACAATGAAATAACAGCACAACCACTTCGGTAGAACATGTTACAGAAAGTTGCCAAGTTGTCTAGTGATAGAACAGGCAAGGGCCATTCAATACAACGCTAATAATTGCACAACAATCTGACATACCAGTTAGTCTGTTATCAGCAAAAGAAGAGAATAATCAGATCAATCAAAAAGCCATCAAAACCGGCACACGACGATTAACATTTTATGGGCAGACCGGAGCAAATTATTATTCTACGCCTTATAATATGTCACAATAGACTTGGCAGCCATATGTACACATGTGAATTGGTACCTGAGACAACATATCATGTCCTCCAAGAGTGTCGCTAATACAACATATTAGGGCAAAACTTTTGGCCAAGAGAAACATCGGTGCAAGTCAAACTTAACGGGTCACGGAGTGAATTTCAAAAGACAGTGAAGTTCATACTAGAGTCAACATTGCAGATATAGATAATTTATTTCGAACGAACGAAAGAAGAAAAAGAAGAATTGCACAACAATTCCAGTCTAATTCCTACTGCTAATTCCTTGTACGAACAGCCATCTATTGTCTTGTTCTTATGCGTAGGCATGGGTCGATAGTTAATTAATGTACAAGCTACAAGAAAAGTGGCAGAATCCAGAAAGAGAACACCAATTATCACCCAGAGCTTGATTGTATGTTGAGGTAGCTGTTTGCACTGCAAATATTTAATTACAGTTTCAGTTAATGGCTGGTATAATTTCTTTACCTGCAATAATTTAGTGCGTTTTCCAAACAAAGTGAATAACTTCTGTCGACATAAACTATGTTTATATGTTATCTTTTTCCCCTCCCCTCCCAATCCGTCCTTTCATTTCTCCTCCTATAGATGGTTTAAACAACTACTTTAAAAGGTATTGGTTAACATGGTTATATGGAGTATCTTTGCCCCTTTGCAAAACTTTTGGTTAAGAGGGGCCTACAGTTCCCTCCACTCCCCCCCCCCCCCACCCCACCCACCCCCAATCAGAAGGTGGGGGCACTCAAGGAGCTGAGCACCCTCTCTCTCCAACATAATTATTTGCTTAGGAAAATGCGCACAGTAGTGAGGATAGCATAGTTAACCCCTCCCACGCATCCAACAAATGTTTCATTAATTTATTAGCAGTGGGTGGGGGGGGGGGGGAATAAAAAGTGTACAGGGCGAAGGCGGCTCGAAGTGTGTGAGAAGGGGGAGGGGCGCTGGAGCTGAACGCCCCTTCCTAATGATATCTACCCAGCGGCGTGTAAGGATACAAAAGGACTTCTATACATTATGAATGCCAGTAGCCAGTTATCCCAGGCAGGTCTGATCTACATAAAGTAATTGAAATGTTTCTTTTTGCTTTTCTTGGCGTTAAAATTTCCTAGCCAGATTAACGTATCTTGCTTAATCGATGGTGGCTATCGATAGGGAAGGAATGAATCATTTATTGTCATTTTCCTGTACCTGCTAACTTGAACTATATGTTCAAACCCCTACTTCACATGGGTTCAACCAGATTTTATCTTTCAAACATGACCTCCCAGTTGGAACTTTTGGCAGTGCTGAAACGTCGCAAACTAGTTTGGTTCAAACACGTGGTGGAACATGATTCGATTGCAAAGACTATATTTTAAAGAACAATGGAGGGTAATCGAAGAAGAGAAGGTAAAAAAAAGATCTGAAATGAAAGGAAAAAGATACTGACTGGACTAAATTATTCAACAAGCGGAAGATAGTGTCGACCAGGAAGCCAAGGTCAATTATCTAAAAAAAATCAAAATAATCCACCCTTGAGTATATTCGAACCCAAAACCTATGGGCATGAGGGTAAGAATCTAGACACTATGCTGCTGTGGCTCTTATTATAAAGTAAAGGATCATTTTCCACGCCTTCAGGCATATTGGGCATATAGGGTTAGACCTATATTTTATTTACCAATCGACACTCGGTGGGTGATGTGGTCAGAATAACACCAGCCGCCTTTACTTCCCAGGACTGTACCTGGAAGTCACTCAAGGCTGGACCCGAATCCACGACCTTCTGATAGGCAGTCGAGTTTATAGCCGCAACAACACCCAGCTTCCCTTTATTTTATATATATATATATATATATATATATATATATATATATATATATATATATATATATATATATATATATATATATATATATTATATACATAGTAATACCAGGTTATTAAATAACAAGCAATAAAAACATAGATTCAATGTCAAGATAATGCTTTTACTGACATTTTATCAGCAATTAAAAAAATATATTGCAGCCAGAAGACAACATATTCATTACTAGATATGTATAGTTGTGCTGCCGACATTTCCATTGAGCAGATTGAAAACAGAGCAGATCAATAAGAAAATCAATTCCATACAAGTGTACGTCCAAGCAAACTATAAACAGCAGTCGGTTGCTCTAAGGAACAAATGAAAAGAAACAATGAGCAGACAGACTTGCTTGCTGGCCTGATCTGTCAAAATCGTTAATACAATCTTAGTTGCGAGGTTTTAGGGCTACTGCATACAGGTATCAACCGATCGCATTTAATTGTGATTGTTTGTTTCCTTATGTTTTAGCATTAAAAAGGGTCGTTGATACGCTGTGTTGTTTACAGCTGGGCTGAGATATCTGCTTCTGGATGCCTATCACAACTGATTTCAACAAAAGCACTATTAGTCTCTTTATACGACGAGCTGGTTATGAAGCAGAGGTTCTTACCACCCCCTCCCCTTTTCCTCCCCTTTTCACACCCCTAAAAATTGGGCTCCAGCACTCAAACTGGGAGATTAAGTTATTTAGAATCAATATAGCAGCAATCTTGAGCGTTGTCTCCCTCTTCGGGCGCTACGGGTATAAATACTAATCCTCTCTGTGGCGTGTTGTCAGTCATTGTACCTACCTTGTTTCCGCTGGTTAAAGCCGGAGTTAAATTTATTTATATCGTTAACCCTTGATCAAGTCTGATCGCTTCAAGGTTAACGCTGTGCTTTCGGTGTAATTGTTCGTTGTAGATTTGACCCATTTCCGCGACTTGAGGCGTGCTGGTAACACACAATATTGGTACAAAAACAAAACACCGTTCACATCATTAGTGAATTGAGCTAATGGAACTTCTCCCATAATTTTTAAAGACTAGTAGCACTTGAGGGTACTTTAGTATACATCGTACAGCCTCCTTAACTTTCCAGTACCCATTGTTAGACTGGGTCGACCTAGGAGACCTATTTTTCTTCTTCTTCTTCTTCTTCTTCTTCTTCTTCTTCTTCTTCTTCTTCTTTTTCTTTTTCTTTTCTTCTTGTTCTTGTTCTTGTTCTTGTTCTTCTTCTTCTTCTTCTCTTCTTCTTCTTCTTCTTCTTCTTCTTCTTCTTCTTCTTCTTCTTCTTCTTCTGCTTCTTGCATCCTCTTGCTAATGATAAAGCGGGATTAGTTGTGTTTTTGTTTTTGTCTTTTGCTAGTTGCGTTGCTTCTGCTAATTTCAAACTGCGTTTTTGTAGTGTCTCTTTTACTCTCTCCCCCCGATCTCTTTCTTGGTCAGCCTCACGTCTTGACACCTTCTGTTTTTATGTAGTAGACTCTAGCTGTTGGACCATTTTTGATAGGCCCTATTTAAACTTAAATCTGCCCCGATGGGGATTTACCTAAACCCAATTTTTGGACAGGCAGACAATTGTTACATACACGTGAGTCAGTACAGTCATTGAATAGGTCAGATTATTGTGGAAATCCTTGAAATACTTTGTAATGTAAGGCTGTGAAAACAGTTCCTCAATCCTTTCAGTCTCAGGCAGTTCTTAGTCTATCATTCTTTCTCTGGGAGTTATACACAGAAACACAACAGTTTTAAAACATCGAATCTTCTTTACGTTTACAAGTTATGATCTCTGGCAGAAACTTGTTCGTTCACTTCTGGACTTTGGTCTTGTTCCAAAACTTGAGTTTTGTGTGCATATCCATTTTATACATCTGGCGTATTTGTATACAAGACTGTCGGTTCCTCGACTCTCCGGCAGATGCACTCTGACCTCAAAGAAAACCACCCCTAATTAGCCACTGTTTATGACATGCCTGCTTGGGGAGAAGGAGGAGGGCAGTGGGTCTATTTTTCCACCCACACCCCTCCTTCCCCAATTCCACCCCAACCCCAAATAAATGTTGCTCCACATTCCACAAGAGAAATTAACTGTGCTAAATAAGTTAGAAATGAGACACGATGTGTAAAGAGAGAGTCTGTCCTTGTAAGTTTGAGGTTATTTTTAACAATTCAGGTATAACCTCTTGAGGCATGGTATCTACTTGAGTGCTGGAAGTCCCAAGCTCAAGCCCCGGGGAAGGTTTGGATTATTTTTCTACTAGTGATTTCCTTTGGTCTCTGGGTATCAAATTTAGATGCCGTTTTGTATTCTTGCACATGTAAAACAATCTCTTGGCAGCTGAAAATCGAAAGGAGTAGCCTAACGGCACTGCCCAGGCAAAATTTGGAGTAAAAAGTCTACCCAAAGTATTTCAGGATCCTCGGCAGTGCAATGGAGTTCGTGCACTGTGCTGAGAACTTCAGACTCAGGCTTGAGTTAGAAAGTAGAACGGAGCACTTATTGGTTACACCCGTGTGCCATGATGTTGATCCGTCAACTAAACATAAACAAACTTCTATAAAATTAGTTATCACAGGGATACATATTCATGTCTATAAGATCAACCACTGTAATGTTATCCGTCCACTTCACACTGCTGGGGTGGATCATTTCCATCGAAGGAGAATGCTGAATTATGATGCATCCTATTCAAACCATCTTGACTTTCATCAAGTAGAATAGTATGAGTACTATGCTGATCTGAGATCACATGTAGGCATGAAAGACTGTCCCTATCCTCCTCAGAAAAACTGTCTATAGGACTGTGAATATTTGTCAATGAACCAAGACTTGCACCTGTAGCAGGTCTGACCACCAGAACCTGTTGCTGTAGTTCTGGCAGGGACGTACATGAGGAAGACACAAGTGCAATGCTGGAAGATGTAAAATCAGTTTGAATACTGGCAGTATCAAGATAATCTGGATGAGATTTCAAATCTAACTTTGACAAATTGTTGTGCCTTATTATTATATCTTGAGAATCAGCTGAAGAACTACTAGTTACCCCCGCGGTGGGAACATTAATGTTAAATACTGGAACACCAGACTCTACCTCCCGACATTGTTCACTGAAAGTGTTGGAAACACTATCTTCATCAAACCTTATTACTGAATCATTTAATTGGGTCTCCATTTCATCTTCGGCCAACAGTTCTTTCTCATGAAAGCTGTCAACTACAATTACGGGTGTCCTAATGTTTGAGTATGAAATAATGTGTACATCAAGAGATTCTACTGATTCTTCTCTCCTATCCCTTTGCTTCCTTTTCTTCCCATTGCTTGTTGTACTGGCTGAGAATGTCTCATCAGCTCTGTTTAGTTCCGTTGATGACTTTGATAGATCAACTTCTTCTTCTTGATGTGGTGGTAAAACAGGGCGATTTCTCAATACATGATAAGACTTCTTTTGTTTGGAGAACTCAGAATGCAGGTGCATGCCTGGTCTGTGGACAGGCACCACATTCAAGCTGGAAGATGTAGCTCGCTTCTTTCCATGCAGTACTGATTCTCTACTTCTGATACGCTCTGGACCAGTAGTGGTTCCCACAGGGGTTGTCTTGTGTTGTTTTGTGACATCAGGGCTCTTCCTGCTGCACAAAGTGAAGTACATGATGCTAACGGTGGCACTGAGACCCAGGAATGCTATAGCCACACATATCAGTATGATTCCAACAACCTTCTTGCCATGTTCATTGTGGAGATCTGGGGGCAGGCCACTTGTGTCAACCTGGGTAGAGACAACATCAATGTTATTAAAGAGTAATGAAGATATCTTTAAAGAAACTGACTCATAAAGAGAATTGATTGCCAATATCAGAAAAAGACGATCTACATTTTTTGGTCATGTGAGGAGAAGGAGAAAACTGGAATACATCATGACAGTAAGAAAGCTGTAGGGGAGAAGAGGCAGAAGGGGGCACTCTGGACAGTCTGGCATCTTGGCATGGACAAATCATCTGTTTGAAAGTTCATGAGACAGAAGGTTATAAAAAAACATGACTACAGATGCTACACGGCATGGACTTGGAGAAGAAGCTTTGCCTTCTTCTTAGTGTTTACTGGCTGCAGACGTTATTGGAAAGTTCTGGTTGTTCGTCCTCTTCTGAAATTTGCTTTGTTCCAGAACTTGAGATTTGTATGCATTTTTATTTTACAGATCTAGCTTATCTGTAGACAGACTGTCCTAATATTTGAATTACAGTGAATTCATTCAAAAACTGCAGAAAGCATCAATAATGCAGCAGTTTCCACAATGCATGCCTTGTTGAATGGTAATGACAAGAAAACATAAATACTGGGTGGGAACAGAGGCAGATGATGGAAAGGTAAGATTTTAGGACAGTCAGGCATCATGTCATGGATGTGATTATCATGGTAACAATTAGTATAGGACTTTTAGATGACCCTAGGTTGATTCAAATTAACATGGATACTTTTCCTTCTTTGTTTACCGCTTGTAAGAACCATTGCTGTTCATCCATATGGACTATGGCTTTATGCCAGGGCCTAGGTTTTGAGTGTAAATTAGTTTTATTGGCTTATTTGTGTGCAACTGATTGTTCCTTGCCAATCAGGCAGATGTAATCAGACTTCGAAGGAAGCTCCCAATCAGTTGACGTCCATTGACAAAACATCATCCATCAAAAACCGATTGATCAACTAAAATGTGGATCCAGTACAATAGTCCCAGTAGGCTTCCAGGTGTGAAAATGGTTCCTTTAATTTATCACTGTTGTCAGTTATAGCACGTTAATTATCATCAAGTTTCTTGCTGACTTCCACCTCTGTAGTACCCGTTGGCCACTCTCTGCACTCCTTGCCCAATGTGATCATAACCTTACACAGGTCAGACTTTTCCTCTGGTACTCTGACCCACCCCTTGCCCAATGTTCTCCAGCATGCCTACTTGTCTTATTGTGTCTTCTGCTTGAGCCATCCACGATTTTCTCCTTTTCAGCCTCTGACCCTTACCTGCAGCCAAAGCTTCATACAGAGGGTGTTCTTTGTCTGCAGCTACTCTGAGGTATGACTTAGCCTGCAGCACTTTTAGCCTATCTGCAAAAGTCAGCAGTACGAGGATGTATCACATGCACACAATCAGGGTGTTTCTTGTACATCCCAGGATCACCCGCATAGCTTCATTCTGTATGAGCCCCAGTTTCACTAGCTGACTCTTTGAGACAGTGAGTAACCCCAATCCATAACTAATCACTGAGATTATTAGGTAGGGTATGCTGCTATCATTTCCTGTCTGATCTGGGAACCTTCAAAGGGTCAAAGGCAAAAGTGGCTGCATTTGACCATGTGTCTTTCCCTGGCCGGTAACTTCCCAATCATCGTGAAAGGAGATTCTCTGTTCCAGAAATTCTTGTAGCTTACCCACCACTATCTTCTCCCTCACTTGACCAAAGGTGTTTTGTAGGGTTATGATCCACTGAGTGTTGAATGATTCTTGCCAGGCTTAGGAAGTGGAATCAAATAGCTGTGCATCCACTCTTCTGAGACTGAAGCTGTCCTAATGCTCTGGTGGAAACAGGCAGTCATCTCTACCAGGTAAGAAGTAATATCAGCAGGCAATCATCATCTAACCAATGAACAACAGTGGCTGAATAATTAAATAAATTCTGGGAGTTACATAAGTAGCACAGCCATGCAGAACATTATCTGTACATTATGTGAAACGTTCTACTGACCTCCATAAAAGTTACATTAAGAACAATGCAGATTCCAGCAGACAACATAAATATGCCAAACATGGCTGCAAACACCCCCACAGCACAACAGCAGCACTGGATTCTGGGAGAATGCAAGCTAGACATCTGTGGAAGACAGTAACACCTGAGTGATGTGATGCCTTAGATTTCAGTGACGTGATGTGTTAGATCTGAAAGATGTGATGCCTTAGATCTGAGTGATGTGTTATAATGAAATCATATGTTATACTTGAGGGATCTGATGTGTATACTTGAGGAATATTATATGTTACAGTTGAGTGATGTGATATGTTATATTTGAATATGTAATACTTTAGGTGATGTGATATGTTATTAATTCAGTGATGTTATATAGTATACCTGAGGGCTGTGATATGTTATACTTCAATATTTAAGACTAGGCTGATGTCATATGTTATACTTGATGGATGTGATATTTTATACTTGACAGATGTGCTATGTTATAGGTTACACTGATTGATTTGAAATGTGACAACTGGGTGACATGTTATACTTCATGGATGTGATCAGTTATACATGAGTTCTGTAATGTTATTCATGAGTGATGTTATATGTTATACTTTAATGATATGTTATACTTGAGTGATGTGGTATGTTATACTCAAGGAATGAAAAAAAGTTATATTTGACTGATGTGCTATACTTGAATGATGTGACAGGTACACTTGAGTGATATGATGTGTTACACTAAAGTGACATTGAATGTTGAATTAGGAATCGACATCACAGAACTCGGGACACTCCTGTAAGTGCTCAGTCCCCATCTTCAGGAGCAAGTGAACAGTTCCAGTTCCGATGGTATAAGTATCCATCTGATTGTATATCAGTCTCATCCTTTCATTGAGTGTTAAGCATCAGCCAGATCCCCTGGTAACTCCTTGCAGCACCATTCTCCTCAGTCAGTAATGATCTGCCTCTCCGCACTCTTTACCCATTCCCAAAGGGTCATCACAATATCTTACTTGTCATACATCAGTTCACCACCAAGTGGTGCAGAGCCAACCAGTCTATCTGCCTGCTCATTTCCCAACACACCAGCATAGTTGGAGAAAATATCCAAAGATTGCTGACTACCCAGGACCTCTGATGCTTGCACTCGAGTGACGTGATGTTTTATATGTATATGAGTGCTGTGTTAGTCTTAAGTGATGTGATGTGTTATATGTATCTGAGTGCCGTGTTAGTCTTAAGTGACGTGACATATTATATGTATCTGAGTGCCATGTTAGTCTTAAGTGACGTGATATATTATATGTATCTGAGTGCCGTGTTAGTCTTGAGTGACGTGACATATTATATGTATTTGAGTGCCGTGTTAGTCTTAAGTGACGTGATGTGTTATATGTATCTGAGTGCCGTGTTAGTCTTAAGTGACGTGATGTGTTAAATGTATCTGAGTGCTGTGTTAGTTTTGAGTGACGTGATATATTATATGTATCTGAGTGCCATGTTAGTCTTGAGTGACGTGACATATTATATGTATCTGAGTGCCATGTTGGTCTTGAGTGATGTGACCTTATACCTAGTATCTATCTCTAATTTGCCTCCACCAGTGTTTTCATTCTTTGTTTTCCTTTATTCTGTTCTGTCAGTCGTAGATAATGAGACCCTGGACAGTACTGCACCAAGGTTGTAAGTGGTGTAACTGTTACAGGTTCTGTAAATATAACTTCCTCAGAGCCTGCCATAGGAATCTGTGTTGGACGTATCCAGGAGATGACTTTGCAGAGGTGTCAAGCCTTCAGGTCACCGCCCAAAATGGGGTGAAAAACACCAGTCAGATTCTGGAAAACAATTTTTTTTTTAAATGTGTGCCATCTCCGCAATAGAAGCTGACTGCTGTAAATATGTGGATTCATCTCTGTCTTTTGGAATATTGCATGGTGATGTCCCACTCGCTTCCACTAAGAGAAAACTTGAAAACGTTTTTTTTTTAATTGCCTGCCACAGAAACTGAAACATAGTACGTCAGAGATTATTTAACGTGTTCACTTATCTCTAAGCCAAAGAGGCATAAATTACGAGAGTTAGTCTGAACCAGAACAGACGTGCTACTTTCCAGGAGAAGGGAGCTAGAGAATGAAGTTAAAAAGGCGAAGAGCGTGCATGCAATAGCAACAGCTAGAGTGACTTGGCATGAGCTCTTTGAGGGCGTATGCTCCACTGGGAGATAGAAGGCAGAAAAAGATTTCGTCCTTACTCGAAGAGGACTGTGGATGACGCCTGGTTGGTGTAGCCGTTAGGTGTGCTCTATTTACAACCTGCCTGGGGCTTGTGCGTGACATGCCTTGTTGTTTTGCCGTAGAGATTGAGATGATTTACCTTCAGGACGGCATGGTAAACTTGTATGTGGCAGCTCGGAGGTGACGAACTGGTCGACTGAATAGTGAGCAAGTTTTCTTGTAACTTGAAGACGGGAAATGACGTCAAATACGCGTGAGAAATCATAATTAACAATGGAGCCAACAGTGGACTTTACAAACTGATCTAGGATCCCAGATAGATCCAGCCTGAAATGAGCACTAGGAATTGTCCCGGAGAGTAACGGCTGTCGATCAGTCTGCGAATGTGGGTATTTTTGAGATGCTTATGGTGTGTTGATGGAGTTAAAAGTGTATGCTTTGCACAACGCGACCAACCTGTCTGTGGAGAACAGAGATGCAACCATATCAGTTAAAGCCTTGTGCAACAAACTTCATCTTCTGGCTGCTAACTAGATCAGTACTAGAGAACTCGTTACACGTTTCCTGAGCACTGAATACATTGTAAACATTTGTAACATCCTCTGTATCTTTCCACTATAAACATCATTTGCTTCCTTCTTTGTCGACTGTCCAGAGAAATTACCGGTACAAACTGCGTGAAGTATGAACATAACACGGATATTATTTTCACACACACACACACACACACACACACACACACACACACACACACACACACACACACACACACACGCTTTCTTAATGCATATTACATTAGGATCATAGGTATGAGTAACGTAGGGTAACCGTAATTTTCGAGCTAAAAACGAGACATTCCGCCAAGAAATCAACATAAATACTTTTGAACTGCAATGAAAATAATTAAACATTCTATCAAGGTCTACAGATATAACTATAACATTCATGCATTAAAAGCATCTAAACCTATGAAATCTAGCAAGGTCTACAGATATAGCTATAACATTCATGCATTAAAATATTTCAAACCTATGAAATCTGACAATGTCTATATATATAGCTATAACATTTATGCATTTAAAGCATCTAAACCTATGAATCCTAGCAAGGTCTACATATATAGCTATAACATCCATGCATTAAAAGAATCTAAACCTATGAAATCTAGCAACATCTACAGATATAGCTATAACATTCATGCATTAAAAGCATCTAAACCTATGAAATCTAGCAAGGTCTACAGATATAGCTATAACATTCATGCATTAAAAGCATCTAAACATATGAAATCTAGCAAGGTCTACAGATATAGCTATAACATTCATGCATTAAAAGCATATAAACCTATGAAATCTAGCAAGGTCTACAGATATAGCCATTAGTGTTATGTTCGATTCTCGAGCTCATTGCTAGATTCTAAGAAAACGGGTGAACTGGCCCCTTTTTTCTGGTCACCCTAGAGACCTAGATAGGGTGATCATAACATCTTGAGCTGAAAACGGGACATCTCAAGCAAATTCATTTAACCCCACTCCGTTTTTCCAGGTCATCGTGGTGACAGGATTACTTGCTACCTCGACAATGGCCTTAAAACCCGAACCATTGTTGAGGATTTACGGCCGCATCGCTAGTGCTGTCGCCACGATTCAGGTGGCGATTTTCATTGTGCCCCCTTACCGATGATTGTACCCGGGTGTCCCGCTTGAGAGCCCAGCGTTCTAACCGTTCGGGCACTCGCTCCTCACTCTTATTATTAACCGATACAACACAATCATTCCTGGACATTATATTTATCAATTAATTTTTTTTCCTATCCCTACTGCCACTCGAGGCCAGCTAATCATATGACAGTTTATCCTGGTAAATAAAATGTCACGTTTTATCGCAACATACAGTCAGCGTGGTCTCCGTCAACTGGGTGTTCACTGATAGCAGTCGTTTGCCCAGATATCAAACCCTGTTTGGTTTCCTGGTATAACTTGGCGCTTAGACGTGCAGATCGATGACTGCTACGGCCAGTTCAAAGATAGAAATCTTGACTGAATAATACATGATGGGGCATACAAGTTCTTTCATGCACTGTTTTCACAAATCTCTTCTCTATGTTCACGGTAGACTTTATAATGAGTGTGCAAATTTAATTGCTATCCATTCGTAAGCATTATTGTTTAAAATAATATGCAAAGTGTAATGTGTGTGCGGGAGCGTGTGCCTGTCTGTGCGTGTTTGTGCGTGCGTGTTTGAATATTATGTATATTGAGAGATGGTTACGCACGCAATTGTTATCCAGTGTTAGCTCTGAAAACATAAGAAAAGACTTAGAAACGCATGTTCAAAGCTGTTTGTCAATAGAAATTGTTGGCCGTGAATATTCAAATTTCAACCGAGTGGGGCTTTAAAATATAAAAAAAAAATTTGCAACTCATACTGGGAAGCGATATCGGCCACAAACAAAATCATCACAACTGAGGTGCTCAAAGGAAATTGTACCGCTTCTCAAAACTAGAATAACGGCCGCCCCAAGAAACGGCATCTGAAAAGAAAAACCCTTACCAGAATCTAAAACTATAATTGATAATAAATTTCCAAAAGAAGTCAGACTTACAAGCGAACATATAATTGTTCTTAACCCTACAAGAAGGCAAACTTACAAAAAGCTTAGCCTCCAATTTTTAGTATAATAATAAAGTAAGCCAAACTTGCAAGATTCAGCTTGTTTGGCAAACAAACACTAAGAAGCATTCCAGTTCGGATCTGAAGTTTTGGAATATTGATTCTGCCGTAGACTGACTCTAGTGATACAATACAAATCATAGCTATGTTGACTGAAGGGCGTGTTTTCCGAATTTCGTTTGGAAGAATATATTTGTAGACAAACATAACAAAAGATTAAAATAAACA